TTTTCTTTGGCCTCTTCCATTAAAAAACCTGCTGGAATTTTATCTTCATATGGCTACTATACTTCTCAATCCACAGACTTCTAGAAAAGGTTTCCACTTGTGTTTTTCTCCTTCACCTTTTTGTCAACTTAGTGTTGCCTGCATGGCCCCTGACTTGCCACTACACTGAACCTAGATGCCGGGGGCATCCTTGGCCTTTCTGCTGAACCTGCTGGGTTGATTTGAGACCTCCTTTTTCCTGAGTAGTGTCTGTTTATTATTGTTGGCAGCTTTCTCCGTTGGCTTCTTTGATATAATTTTTTCTTGGGTTACTTCCTACTTCTCTGTCTTCCTGTTCTTAGTCACTTTTGTGACCCCCCCCCCTTTTTTTTAAGTCCTCAAAATATTGGTATTCTCTAGAATTCATTCAGTTAGGTCCTCTGTATAGGCTTCATGCTTCATGCTCATCCTTGGGTGACGCCATCAGTCTTACGACTGCAGTTATCAACAGTATTCTGATAACCCTCCAAGTCTCTCTCTTTAGCTAAGAATTAAAAACAAAAAACAGTGTATTTATGTCCATAGGTTTTTTAAAGTAGACCTATATCATCAGGGGCACCTGGGTGGCTTCGTTGGTTAAGCGTCTGACTCTTGATTTCAGCTCAGGTCATGATCTCAGGGTCGTGAGATCGAGCCCCACGTCGGGCTCCGTGCTGAGCATGGAGCCTACTTCAGATTCTCTCTCCCTCTGTCGTCTTGTCCCCCCTCCCCACCCCGCTCTTGGCTCACGGTCTTTCTCTCTTAAACATTAAACCTATCATCGTTTCTTTCCCTCATCCCTCAAATCACATCTTCCTGATGCTGGCAGGCTGTGGTATCAGAAATCCAGTGTGAGCCAGCAGGAGGGGGAAGCGGAGTTTATTGAAGGGATAGAGGTGTGCAGGTGCTGTCAGAGTGAGTGTCTGGGAGACTTAGAAAGGAGAGTCCCGTCTTTGGAGCTGGAGGTTTTTATTGATTGTGCATCCAGGAAACAAAGACGAGGGTCGTTATTCCTTGGAGCCAGCGGGCCCTGGCATCCAGTTGTCTGGTGCCAGTGGCCTGAAATATGCATATGATGGCTTCGTCCAGTCATTTTCACCTGATCGTTCCTTAGGTGTTATCTGTCCTAGAGAAATCACTAACTTCTTACCCCTTACAAGGAGGACACACATTGTCTGCATTCTGAGGCCTGTGTGAAGTGGGAGTGCAGGTCTATTCTTGCTAGAATAGAAGTGGGGAAAAAAGCAAAAAGCAGGGTTTTATGGAGTCCTTCAGTTTCCCTGTCTCATTCCTGTATGTCCCATTTCTGAGAATGAACAGACTTCTACCCAGTTGCTCTGCAGAGAAACCTGTGTGTTATTTTTAAAATTTGATATGAAATTAAAATGACATAGAAGTAGCTTTTTAAAAGTGTACAGTTCAATGTATGGAGTGTATTCACAGTGTTGGGCAAACTACTTTTCTTCACCCCACAGACACCCACCATGGCCATATCCCGTTTCCCCATCTGTTGGCAACTCTGTTCTGCTTTCTGTCTTTGTGGATTTGCCTTTTCTGGATGTGTCCTATAAGTGGAGTCCTACAATATGTGGCCTTAGGTGTCTGGTTTCTTTCACTGAGCCTAGTGATTTTGAGGTTCATCTAGGTTGTTGCTTATATCAGTACTTCGTTCCTTTCTGTGGTTGAGTCATACTCATTTTGCACATACTCCATAATTTGTTTACCCCCGGACGTTCAACTTGTTTCCACCTTTGGACCACTACAAGTAATGCTGATATATAAACATTTTTGTAGAGCTTTTATGTGGACAGGTGGATGTCTTCCTTTCTCTTGGGTATATACCTAAGAGTGAATTACTGGGTTATATGGTAACTTTGTGTTTAACTTTTTGAGGAAATCTGTGTCATTTTAACCCTCACATCACCAAGTTTGGTTGGTTGATTCTTTCCCCAAATGTCCTTGTTTCCCATCATTATTCCCATCCTACTAAAGGTACACTTTCCAGGATTACCTTTATGGCTTCCTTTTTGGTTTCTTTGTTGTCACCATGGCCTTATTCTGTGTCATCTTTCATGCTCTGCAAGATTTGTTTTTTAAAATGTGAATCTCATGGTCACCTCATTGTTTTAAAAACAAAACACAAACCCTTCAAAGGCTTGTCATTGCCCTCTGGATACAGGGCTTACAAAGGCCCTTTGCTGCCCAGCTTCTGACCTTCTCTCTGCTCTCGGCTGCATGCCCCCCTTTGTTCTAGCCAGCTCCTGATCTCCATGTTTCAAGTTCTTGTATAGGCTCCTCTGTCTAAACCTTGCAGCAACCATCCAAATCCTTTGTCTTTTTTCCGACGTCTCCTCTCTTTTTAGAAGCTCTTTTCTGTCTCTTCATGATTATAAGGTGCCCTTCTTTGGGCCCTCCAAATTACTGTACTGCTGTTGGAGCATTCCCCACACATGGTACTTGCCTGTTTACTTCCATGGGAATCAGGGGCTGAGATTCCACAGCAATCGAGTGTCAGGGCTAGAGTACAGACTGGAAGTACAATTACTGGAAACTTAGCAGAAGTCAGAAGACGATTATTTGGTAAATTATTTAGGGAAGACCTCATGGGAAAGGGAAACATTCCTGAAGGTGTGGTATCAGTTTGTCAAATACCTGTGGGTCCAGGCCCTGGGGGACCCTTGCTAGGGGTAGAAGCCACGACAAAAGTGAGATACCGGCTATCTTCAGTGTTGCTTTCGCGTTACTTACAAGCAGTAGACATAATCACTCCTGTAGAAGAAAAGCATGGAGACACTGAGCAGAAGAGTTTTAGCAATTACGGTGTATTGACAGAAGTGAGAAGCAGTGATGTACTTTCTGGGACATGTAAGGGAATTCTCAACAGTAGAGGATAATTTTGACCATATATGCTAATTGCAGAACTTACCCACCTCCGTTTATAAAACTCCACTGGACTTCTGATGGAAAATGCAGCAAGAGGGTGATTTTCTGGATAAATTATAGAATCTTCCCAAGACTTGAATACAGTGTTGAAGAAGATGGTCTGAGAAATATGATAATGTGCGTCTAGAAAAAGAACTTGATTGCCCTTAACTTCGGTGGTCTGTGCTCCGCCCCGCCCTGGTGGACTGTGGGGGTAGGGCTCGGGGTGCCCTCCCCACACCCTGCCCTCCCTGCGCCCTGCCCTCCCCGCATGCATGCTGGCAGCTCAGGGAGTGTTTACATGCAGAAACAAAATGCAATTCTTATCTTCATGTCTTTCCATTTTCAGTATCCTTTTAAAAATGTCTTAGACTAGCTATTTAAAAGTAAAAATACATTTCTTGCATTTTGAAATACAGTACTGATTTAAAACGTTAGATAGGTCTATGTTGCCTTTTAGGCAAAAATTTAGACAACTTTTGGGAAAAGCCATTCGTATTTAAATATAAATAAAATTTGCCTTTAGGCTCTGTGTTTCACTGGCAGGTTGGGGTGTTAAATCCTAACTGTTGAAATGACAGCATCTCCTCATCCCTCAAAAAATTAAGATCTTCTCTGTTACTAACACACTTCATTCAGTCCTCTATAAAAGCACTCTGGATTGTATTTCGCTTACTTTTGTCATTAGACTGAACTCTTTGAGGCTGATGGCAGGAAGCATGTGAGAATCACACACCTGTTCAGGCCCCCGGCATGTCCCTCCCGGACTGCTGTCTCTCCAGTGCTTGGCCCCCACTTCTCAGTTGGAGCCAGTCAGTGCTCCCTGTTCGACCTCCCTTTTGCTGATTTCTACATGCAGTGTGTGTGTGTGTTTACTACTATGAGAGTGTTGATTGCTTCACAGGCCTGTTTGTGTATTAATATGTATTAAATTTTCTAATTTAAATAAGTGCAATTCACTGAATGTCAATTATACCTCATTAAACAGCTGTTTTAAGAAACCTGTACATAATACTCACCATCAGTAGGTCATTATTAAGCCCTGGGTGTCTAGGAACCGTCAGACTACACCCTGACCTGGTCCGCTAAGCTCCCTCGTTGGCCCGCGTCTCCCCCACCCCTCCCACGAGTCCTTTGCTTCCATCATTTTTCATCCATGCCAGAGCACTCTCTCTCTGGAGGAGAAAGTTCTCATGATACCACTGCCATTCCTGTAGGCTCCAGCTGTTCTTTTCCTCTCCTTCCTCCCCCTTCCCCCTCCTCCTACCCCCTCCCTCCCCCCTTCCCCCTCCTCTTCCTAGTCCTTCTTCCAAAAAAAAATGTATTAAGTGATCTCTGCACCCCACATAGGGCTCGAACCCAGGACCCTGAGATCAGGAGTTGCACGCTCTTCCGACTGAGTCAGCGGGGCGCGCCTCTCGCTATTATTGTTAAGCCACTCCTGTGTGCTGGAAACTTGGCTGGCAACGGGGTCAACACACACAGGCAAGACACGAGGGGTCTGCCCTCCTTGCTGAGTGTGAGGAACAGCAGCTGTAGATGTGTATCCCCAAGGTGACAGAGGGCTTGTTACACAGACACACACGGGTATAAATGAAGGTTGGCTAAGCTCAGCAAATTCCAACAAAAAGGTATTCAGGTCTTCAGCTGGTGCCTCTGAGAGTGTACCCTAAAGACCACAGTGTAGGAATGACTGGGAGTACTGGTTTGACTTACCTGTGGGCCACGGTCTGTGAGGGCTGGGCCTGGATATCTGCGTCTTAACGAGTTCTGTCTACCACCGTAGGGCTACCTAGAAGGCTAAGAGCCTAGCTGGAAACCAGGGTGGAAGTGAGAGGGGTTAGAACGTGGTCTCCTGGACAGTTTGCTTCCACGTCACGTCCCTGTGGTACAGAAATGGAAATGTTTTGGCCATCAGGTAGCATTTTGCTAGTGGACCCAGGGATATCTGCTGAATAGTTTGGAATTTATAACATGTATATTCAGGTTCTGTAATTTATCTGTTGGGTGAAAATTATATGCCTAAAAGTTTTGATCAAAAAAATTTTTTTTTTCCACAGAACTCAACAAAAATCCAGTGGAAGGCTTTTCAGCAGGTTTAATAGATGACAATGATCTTTACCGGTGGGAAGTCCTTATCATTGGTCCCCCTGACACACTTTAGTAAGTACCATGGAACGGACACTAAAGTAGCTCTCTTAATTAATTCAAATGGAAACTGCTTTGGCAAACTGAAGTGAAACTATTTTTTAAAGCAGGTGAAATGGCTGTGTTTAGGTGAAATCATTTGTACTAAATGATCGTGTCTAGGGTTTTTGTGTTCTGCTTGAAATTCTAGTGTCTAAAACCTGTTGCTTTCTTAAATATATAATAGTTTCAGAAATATAAGCTATTTTCAAGGTGAGCCTATATATAAAGTATTTTTTACGTGGTTTTGGGTATTGGGTTAATTTTGGCAGGATGGGGGAAGAAGAAGATTCTTTATTGAAATGTTTCTCCCCTTCCCTTCCCTTCCCTTGTGCTTTACTGTGGCTTCATCCCCAAAGGGAACATTGTCATTTCAGAGAGAAGTCTTTTCCATTCTTAGCACTTTATCAGTTTAATTAAAGCATAGTATTACACCTGGGAGATTTTCATACAGAACAGTTTCACACACCAATGTCTCCAGGCTTGAGAACTCTCAGGGTCATCAATTTGAGTGCTTCTTTAATCGGGTGCCCACAGAATACTGATCCGAACCATGGTGTTCTGACCCTAAAATGAACTGATATTTACCTTTTTCCACTTTATAAAAGTGATTGTTACAGCTAATCCCTTTTTTTAAAATTTTATTATGTTATGTTAATCACCATATATTACATCATTAGTTTTTGGTGTAGTGTTCCATGAAACAGCTAATCTCTTTTAATTAGTCCTTATTAACTGATGTAAAGTTAGACAACAGAATGCGCAGTTGAGTCAAAGAGCAATAGAGAGAGAGCTGGGGTTTCCTCAGGATCTTGTCATACATTTTAGGTTCAAAGACCACAGTCTTATTTTCTGCACTGAATGTTTGCAGACTAACTTAAACTTAGGAATATTCAGTGTTCTGTAAGATGGGTTGTGACTACCTGGTGTCAGTGACTAGTGTAAGTTCCATCGTGTTTATAGAAGTGGAGGCATTGAACAGAATGCAGTGATCTTTTCAGGTCACCAGTGTGCCCCACACACCTGAGGGGAGCAGATCTGTATCTGAGTTTCTTGGGGACTACACTTGCTCACTTAGCTGTGGTCCTTGATGGCCCTAAGCAGGCAAGGATTTTGATACCGTAGTTTCATTTTAGGTGTTCAGAGATGGGAATCCCGCCCCCCCCCCTGCAATAAAACACCTGATGGAAAAGAAAATTCAGGCTACTTGGTACCAGGGCAGGCTGGTACGGGACATGCAGGGTGAGTTGTGGTGTGGACTTCGGGTTTTCGAGCGTCTGGAAAGGTGATTCATGTTTTGTCACAATTGTTTCCAATCAGAATTTTTGCTGATGTATTTCTCAGTGCCATGTTTGTATTGGTGATGGTTGCAAACTAAAATAACTCAATTTGGTCATTCCATGGCGTGTGTTTGGGTAGATAATAGGAGCTGTTGAAAACCATCTTTGAGGTATCCCCCCACAACCTTAATATTACTTGAAAGCAAATTTCTTACTAAATTTTGCATGTAAAACCATACATATAATCTGGTTTATAAGCCTGATGAAGTTCAGGTTTTCAAGCTAAACGCATTGCATGAAGTTTTATTTGGGAGACATGGCGACATTCCAGTGACAGAATCTTGTTACTCCTACAGTTGATAGGAGGTAACAGGAGGAATTCTTCTGAACTGGTGTCTGTCTAGAGGATGAGTTGGGCTTCCAGGCCTGAGCTCTGTCTCTAAGGACCTCACAGAACTCTCACACTTTCTCGTGAGGTGGTGGCACGTATCTCTAAAGGCTGTTAGCTGGTACCTGTATTTAATGTGTACCTTCAGCTTCACCAAAGACAACCACTTTTTAATACTCATCATACTGATTAATAGTCCATTCTTTCCACCAATTAAAAACTTACTTCTGGTCTTCAGTGTACGTTTAAAAAATGCTAGCTACTGGTGTGAGATGTGGGTAGCAGAAGCAAGCCTTTGTGGCAGCTCCTCTGGAGTGTGGACTTCCTGAGGAGACAGCTGGTGGCCACTTGCAGTCCTTCCTGATGGGACAGCTGGGCTGTAGTTATTAAACTCTGCCACACACGGGGAGCATCCTGTGAGTAATGAGGCCTTGTGGCATTGACAGACATTGTAATCATCATCCAGAATAACCTGGAAATGATTCCTTTTTGTTAAAATCTTTTCTAAAATTCATGTGTGAAAGTTATGGGATTTTTTTTAAGCCCTCAAAAAAAAGAGGTTTAAGATTTATTCTTTAATATTTGCTGAGTCTAAGCCATCCCTTGGGCAATTTCCTACTTAGAATGGTTGCAAAAATAAAGCATTACACTGGCATTTACATTGCTCATTCATCTAGCTCAGCTGTTTCCAAGCGGTCTTATGTTAGACGCTGGGAACGCGACCTCGGATTAGCTCAGTGTCGTCCCTGCCTACAGAGAGGTTACACTTTAGTCACCGCATGGTCGCTTGACTAGTGATGGCCATGGTGGAGAGGGGCGCTCACTGGGGGTGTGGCAGGTTTGGGATGTATCAGAACTTGTCCCAGAGGAAGACCTATCTAAAGTGGGAACTTAGAGTTAGTAAGTGTAGTAGTTGGTAGACTTCTGGTTACAAGCAACAGAAATCTGACTGTAGCTGGCTTAGAGAATAAGAAAGTATGTTGTCCTGGCACTGGTAGCAAAATGGTTACAGGAGTTTTGAGCGTTTCAGAAGATCACCCAAGGGAAGAAGAGAGGCTGGTTTCTTCTTAGTTCTGTGTGTGTTGTATGCAATGGGAGCTCTCCAGCTGACTGGTTCTTGTCTCCTGTGTCAGAATAGAGTCACTTGCTCCTTCCCACCCAGTAACTGGTAAGATGAATGAGGTGGCCGCAGTTGGTTTAGATTAGTTCTTCTGGAATGGAAGAGATTTGGAGCTGTTAGCAGCTAGGGTCAGTGTTAACCACACAGGTGTTCTGGCAGAGACCGGGGGGCCCAGAAAACGGGACGGCTCCACGGTGTGGTGGTGGAGTGAGGTGAGGACATGGAAGGTCAGAAAATGAGGCTGAACAGGGAGTGGAGGGTTCCTTGAAGTTCATAAACACTGTTGGAGAGTTTGGATTTGTCTTCACAACCATTGAGGACAGGAGTCACCAGTTAGGTTTCTGTTTTACAACCTGCGTATCCTAACTGGGATTATGGATTTCATTTTCCCTCAGCTTACTTGCATTTTATCTCTGCAACAAAAATTTGTTCGTAACAGTGTTATTCTAAAAGTTTGTCTATAGTGAAAAAGATGCGCTGGGAGCTGGGGGCTGAGCATGGCAACCTGCAGGACGGAGTTGCACACACAGCCTTTGCTCGGGATAGAGGAGGAGAGTGTGCACCGAGCGCGGGTCCCTGAGGAGGGCTGGGCGGATGAGCTCAGAGGAGGGAAGGAGAGGAAAGGGTGATTAGAAGTAAGCTCCCTGTTTCACGGTGAATCCAGTACTTCATGGTGTGTGTTGCTTTAACAGTAAGGAAATTACTGGTGTCCCTGTAGTTCCTTGAGCGGTGTGAAGAGGGTAGAGGCCGTGTTGCAGTTGTTGGAGGGGTCTGTTGGGTGGGGGTGCGCAGACCTCAAGTGTAAATCCCTGCCCAAAGGCGGGGTGGGGAAGGGGGGGTTGGGGTTAGAAGTAAGTGAAAGTTAATGGGGGCTTAGATGGTACCCAGACCTAACTGATTAATTCACCGCTTAATAGTTCGATCATTTATGTAGTGATAGCAAGAATTAATAATGTACAAACATTCCTGGAAAGCTGTTGTGTTCCTTCCTGTGGCATCCTTAGCCTTCATGCAGTCACTAGAGGGCACTGTACCCTCTTCAGTTTAGGTAATCAATAACCAGTGTATTCCAGCTTGCTTGAACACTGAGCGTTGCCATTAGTATGAATGTAGCCATTATATTTATCTTTACAGGGTATTAAATGTTTATTACTCCTCTGCCCATCAGTCTATTAAGAATAGATTCTCCAGGCTGTCCTTCTGTGAGAGCTGAAACTGGTGTGTGTACCTGCTGTGTTCTGCTCGCTGATTATCAGGTAGTGTCCACAGAAATGGACATTTCAGGCAAGAGTGGCAGCATGTTTTTCAAGGAAGTTCAGAAGCCTCGGATATCACCATGTAATTACAAATTTTATAAATTCGTATTAGTGAATGGTGAATGTGCACCTTCTTTTATCCCTTAAATTTTTCTTTCATCATCAATGGCTAGTCTGTCCAGGAAGTATGGTTTATTTTATTCCTTACCACTGACAAGGGTGTGGAAAATATGGAGAATATCAAGATTATATGCATTTTATTGTTTTGCCTTTCCTTGAGTGGCTATAGAACATGTAGAGTCAGTTAGCCAAACTCTGGTTAATATTATTTTACAGTAACAAAATCCTTTTACAGTTCTGCCTAAGACTTGGAAGCACACGCCATATATTCTGTGATGAGAATTTGGAAGGAAGGAACCTTGTACCGCCATTGCTTAGCAAGTGATGCATCGGCAGCCAGGCCACATCCCTTCCCGTTCAGTGCTTCAGAGCATGGGCTCTAGGGCCTTTGCGCAGCTCCCCAACTCTACCACTTGTATGAGCTGTGTGACTTCGACCAGTTACTTAAAGTTTGTCTTAGCTGTTTTGTCTTTAGGGTAGAAACCCTACGCCAGGAAGTGTTTGGGATGTTCAGGGTTCTGTTGCATGTAGTAGCAAAGAAATGGGAAGCAATCAAATATCTTACGAGTGTGATAAATAGATTGTGAAATGCGTCAGATAAAATGAATGGACAAGAAACAGGTATCACCAGGAATTTTTTTTTTTTTCCACCAGGAATATTTTTAAAAGAACAATGTTGAGCAAAGTTTGAGGTGGCAGCATACAATGGATCGTTTAAATAAAGTAAATATGGCAGAATGGTAGGATCTGACAAAATGGAATGGTAGGATCTGGTCGTTGTAAGATTCTTGCAGTTTAATACAAAAACAGTAAGTGAGGCTCATGGAAGAAAGTTGAACTAGGCTTAGGTTTCTCAACCTTTTCAGATGTGAAACTTTTGGTTTCACACCTTTTAACATCATGCTGATAATTGTACTATTAGTATTGTGGGTGATGAGAATAGTGGAAGTAGTGGAAGATATTTTTAATTCACAGATGCTTTTTATTTTATTTTATTTATTTTTTTTAAAGATTTTATTAGAGAGAGAGAGAATGAGAGATAGCACGAGAGGGAAGAGGGTCAGAGGGAGAAGCAGACTCCCCGCTGATCAGGGAGCCTGATGTGGGACTCGATCCCGGGACTCCAGGATCATGACCTGAGCCGAAGGCAGTCGCCCAACCAACTGAGCCACCGAGGCGCCCGCTTTTTATTTTATTTTTATTATAAACTGTCATTTTACTCAGTAACATCTTTGCATATTTGAAAAATAGTCAATATGTGACATATTAATGTTTAGTTTACAATATTTCATATCCTGGGGGTTTTGCACTCCTCTTTGCTAATTTGGCTGTTCACTGAAAGCTTGCCACCCACAAGGGTGGGACCACTGAGCTCGGTTTAAAAAAACAGGTAGGCTTCCCCAGGTGAAAGAGATGTTAAGGAGTCCACTGATAGGAGAAAAACTATACGGAATAGCGTGATTGGTTCAGAGTGGGGAGGGCGCTGTAGACAGAGTGAAAATTGTGTGCTTTAAACCCTTGGAGATAATTCTGTTAATAAAATTTGACATTTTAAAAGATTGAAAATACTTTAAGAGATGGAGGCAGTTTTTGAGGACAGGGATTCCAGTCAGCTAACACGAGGTGGATCAAATCCGTCGAGATGAAGGGACCCAGGGAGGCTGCTTACAACCGAGGAGCAGTGTTACCAGCGGGTGAAGTGCGAGGGCCTGTGGCAGCTCTTTTGATGTCCTTTTACGTGGATTCTTAGCTGTTTTCTGTGTTTGTGGCTTTTTTCCACCACAACCCATCATCAGAAGTGTTCTACATCCTGACCTGATGTGTAGACTATGATGTGCATACATTTTAGTGAGTAGAAACATGCATGCAGACTACATAAGTCAAACAGACTACCTGTGACAAGCGCCTTGTTTTCTTCTCGATTTTTATTTGTTAAACAAGAAAGCTGGTTAGTGAGTCACCCCCAGTTTGAAAAGCGAGTCCGTAAAATTAACGGTCCCAGGGCCACTGTGGCATTAACCCTCACAGTTGGGGTAGCCGGGGCATGAAGGTGCCCGCCAGTGTGGTGCGTCCTTCCCAGCGTCTCCCTCAAGTCTCCAGGTTTTCCTCTTCATTAAATCATTCTGTAAGTTACGAAGTGGAGGCCATATGGCAGGCATAAAACTTGTCATTTTTCTTCCTTATTACCCCTGGATATCTGTACCACATTCAGTCTGTTTTTCTTCCAGTGCAAAAGGAAAAGATGTTCTTTCTTTTTCTTGGCGAGGCCCTTCGCTCCCCTTACTTTCTTTCTTCTTCCAATGGCTCAGTTCTTTTTCTAGTGTCTCTAGTCTTTCTACCAGCACCTTCCCATCTCCTTGTAAACAAATTAGGGTATTTTTTTCCCCTCCTTTTTAAAGCCTTGCATTTGTGCTGTTTCCCCATCTAATTATCCTGTTCTTTAACTGTCAAACTTTTTAAATTGTCATCATGCTTGTCCTTGACCACCCCATTCTCTCTTTCACCCTGTGTGGCCTTCTCCTGTTGCTTTTACCACAGTTGTGTTACCACAGTTACCCTGTGTGCTGGGAGCCCATTGGCCTTCCCTAGGTATTCAGAGGTATTTGGTATTAATGATCTGCCTCTCTGTTTTTAAGTCCCCCCCTTCCCCCTCCCAAATCCTTTATGCTCAGAAAAAGGCAATAAAAATTAATACGTGCTTGTGGTTAAAAATTCAGTCTATATTGAAATGTACAAAACAGAAAGGAAAAGATCCCCGTAACCCTGGCTCCAAAGGTAACCACTGCTATGTACTGGGGCTATGTTTGCAGAAGGTTTTCTGTCTGTATAGAAGCACACCCCCATTTTTCCTTCTTAAGGACAAATGGGCTTATTCTATACATACTTGGTTTTTTAAAAATTTAATATTAGATTGCTCATATCATTCCAGTAGCTGTTAGTGATATTTTGCTTGATAGTTTCTTCTGCCACCAAAATGGTAAGTGCTTGTGAAACCAGTGATCTCTAATGTCGTTTTCTGTTTGATTATTTTATGTAAAACAGTGCCTCACACAAGTAGGTAGTCAATGTATATTTTGTTCAGTGAATGGAAACCATTTAAGGAGCTGAGAATTCCATTTCTCGCTGGTCTGACACAAACATCAGCACATGACCCTGCTCTGATGGAGTGTACACTGAACAGTAAAAGAATCAGATGTGCAAATAGATGTTGGAATAAAGAAATGAAAGGGGGTCAATGTACCAGAGGGACACAGCGGAGAGTTAAGATTGGGAAGTCAAGGGAAGTCTCAAGAGGTAACGTTGAAGCTAAGTTTTTTTTTTTTTAAGATCTGATTTATGTAATACAAGTGAGCGAGTGAGCATGAGCAGGGGAGGGGCAGCGGGAGAGGGAGAAACAGACTCCCCGCTCTGCAGGGAGCCCGACGCGGGGCTCGACCCCAGGACCCCGAGATCATGACCTGAGCCAAAGGCAGACGCTTCACCTACTGAGCCACCCAGGCGCCCTAAAGCTGAGTTCTAAGTGATGACAAGGGGAGAAGGGTATTTCAAGCACAGGAAATGGCTAATGCATGAGCTTAGTTATATGCCCCATGAGGCTGACTTGATCTCATTGGTTTTTGTTGTTAACATAGTACAACTCATTGTACTGTTTTGACAGTTCTTCAAGAACAGTTCTTAAGTAAATGGCACTGATCTAAGACTGCACTAATACAGCAGTTACTGGCCATATGTGCTATTAAATTAAATAAAATTAAAAGTTCAGGGGCACCTGGGTGGTGCAGTCGGTTGAATGACTGGCTCTTGGTTTAGGCTCAGGTCATGATCTCAGGGTCATGAGATCGAATCCCACGTCGGGCTCTGTGCTCAGTGGAGTCTGCTTGAGAATGTCTCTCTCCCTTTCCCTTTGCCCCTCCCCTTGTGCGCTTGCTCTCTCTCAAATAAATAATAATTTAATAAATCTTTAAAAAAAATTAAAAACTCAGTTCCTCAGTTGCACCAGCCATATTTCAAGGGCCTAGTGGCTACCATCTTGGACAGTATGCCTATAGAGCGTCTTCAGTGTGCGGGAAGCTGTGTTGGACGGCACTACTTTGGAAAGTCACTGGAGTATAAACTCCTTGAGAGACTTTATACCTTGTTCACTGCTAGTGTCTGACATGTAAAGGCTGAAGAAATATTTGTTAAAGGTTGAGATGAATGGATGACTGGAAGGTCAGCACATCTTTCCACACAGGGAGCAAACAAATTATGTGTAAGTTCTGAGTGAGAAAGAGCTTATTGTGCTTGCAGAACAGAAAGGAGATGGGCTGGGATGGAGGGAAGGGTGGTAGTTGGAGATCTCCACGGAGAGCTGACAGGCAGTTAGCCTCTGGACTTAGATTAGTGCCATGGGAAGTGATACAGGTCGTTTAGCACAACAGTCATGGGATCTGATGTGGATGCCGGTTTAAGGCCGGCTGTTTCTTTCATTTCCTAGCTTCTCGGGAGCTCGGTAAGGTCGTGGGTGTTGCCAGGCTATTAAACTGAGTGTGCAGACGATCTGCTTGAGATCCAGGTTATTAATTCACTTCATTTATAGTGTGAGCGCTCGCACCCTTGCTTTATGTTTGTTTTAATAATTGTTGATATGCAGGAATTTACAGGCAAGAACATGTTTTTGTTTTTCTTCCAGTGAAGGTGGTGTTTTTAAGGCTCATCTCACTTTCCCAAAAGATTATCCCCTCCGGCCTCCTAAAATGAAATTCATTACAGAAATCTGGCACCCAAATGGTAAGTTTATCTAGTTTTACTTTTATATTTGCTAATATGATGCCTGTCACTGAGGTTTTCAGGGTGCCTAAGAAAGATGTGGTCCTCAATGAAGTTACTTTGGGATTTTTGTACTAAGTTCACTGTGTTCATTATGCATTTGGCCTTGTATTAGCTTGTTTAGAACAGCAGGAATAGACATCATATAAAAAATACTTATTTACTTAGTTTTCAGCTCTTTTTGAGACTCCTGATGTTCCAGACTAGAGGCAAGGTTATTGGGTGATAGTTGCCATGAATACAGCTCTTACAGTCGAGATCATTTCCAAGGTATTAGGTGACTCATATTCTATTACAGAGAGTACAGGAGTAACTAAACCTGGTTTTAAAAATTGTATTTCTCATCTTCACTCTTAGGCCACGGGCAGCTCTTAACTTGTTACCTATATTAGCTGTTAAAAAGGGAGTGTCCTGCCTGCCTCAGAAGGTGACTGACTCGGTGACATTGGATGCTGTACTTTGTGTTTGAAGCTTGGAAAGCATCCAGTCCTGCTATGCCTGAGATGTGGTGACTCTGAATTTTTTTTACCCAAAGATGTGCTACCATTTAAAATCCACTTCGTGAGTCAAAGGTTAGGCTAGATAAACTGTGTTTGTACACAGTCTCCCTGAACTTTTGGCCTTGTTTTTTGTGATAGAGCTTGTAAGCATTTCTCTCCTAAGTATTTTGACTGTCAGTATTTTGTAATCAGAGTTGTCGTTTTTTGACTCCTGCGCTGTCCTGCATTCTGCTTCTCACAGTCAACTTCGCATTGCCAGGGAGAGAGCCTCCTGTATTAGTCCGAGCAAGTCTGTGAGAGAGGAGTGAGTGAGGAGTGAGAGAGGGTGAGGGAGTGAGTGAGGAGGGAGTGAGTGAGGAGTGAGTGAGTGAGGAGTGAGTGAGAGAGTGAGTGAGGAGTGAGTGAGAGAG